AATTAATTAATAGTGGGTGAATTAAAACAAAGTGTGTATACTCTCACCTCTATAGAGTACAAAAACAACTCATCAATAATCTCTTATTCCAATGTCAAGCATTTTATTAATTATTGTATATAAAGTGTGTTCCTGCTGCTTGAATTCTTCAATTAACATTTCACTAGTGTTTTTATCACGTTTTGCTTTCTCTTCTGATCTCAAAACCTACAAACACACAAATATTAGAACATCATATGTAACCAACAATTCATCAGGTACCATGTATAATCAGTCAATGCCTTTGATGTACATATGGTCAAACAAATATGTTGACAACAGGAAGCATTCGACTTATTTTTTATTGCTTCAAGTATTGACCACTGCTCCATTTGAAGCACCAGTTAATCTAACAACTGCAAACTAAAATTTCCTCTTGAATAAAAGTGTCTAAGTCTTTCTAGTCCAGGCCCTTGCTTGAGCATAAACAAAGGTACCGACAGTTGCTCTTATATTTACTTTAATTATTTCTTTTGATGTTGTCTTTCCTTCCTTCCGATGATCACCAGTACTTGGTTTGATTGGAGTGCACTGGTTTAGTTCAAGTGATATTTTATGAGGATGGGCTAGTGATGTTGAATGATGAGTTTTCACTGTAATACTATGATCAGTAAATGTAATAGAACCTTGAATGAAGAAAAGAAAAAAATAGGGAGAGTGATTACCCGTAATAGTTAATGAGTCTAATATTCACCTTCAGTCCAGTGCAGTGTGTTTGAATCATCAACTTTTGGTGATAATACTAGTCGTCCACTCTTATCCTTAAAATAAACTGGAGATTGTACGCCATACCTGCAGGATAGGATCAGGAACATAAACGTGTATTATGTTTAAAAAACTCATGTTTATAAGATGCAACACTGATTCTGAGCAATAATTTTTCCATATATCATTATCATATCTAATACAGTGACATACCATAGATTGGGAAATTTTCGTTGTTAAAATTTTTTTTGGTTGAAGTTACCCACAAATTTTGACATTGACACACAAAATATTTTAACGTGCAGCAGTGGACGCACGAGGCCCTTCTAAAAGCCCAATGAAGGCCTTAAGTTCTCATCCAAAAGGCTTTTTTTCAGTTTCAGTGCTGCCATGAGCAACTTCCATTGAATAGCTGTCCATTCATCATCAAGAGTTAGTAGCCACGTGTCCAATTTATGATGCATTCAAAATTTTCCGCGTTAAATAAACTTTGCAGATGGATCAACAAATGAAAATAAAACACTTTTTAAAATTTCACACCAATTATTTTTAACATGAAAATTTCCCAATCTACAGTAATCGTAATTGCTAATGACAGGTTTGTAATCATAATTGTAATCATAATGACTACACATATGCAGTACATGTAATCATAGGTGTATTCATAATCATGAATTTGTAATTGCCCCAACCCTAAATTAAGTACATGTATATGTTTCAAAAAAAAAATTATAAAAATGGAGAATTCTCTTCTTGTAATTTTTTTCAAAATACCCTGTGCTGTAGTACAGGGTCTTCCACTGACAAGAAGCTGCATGAGCACTATGCCAGAATCCAGTGGGAAACCCTCAAGAACATATGCCCATCAAAGAGAACCTTCAAATGACACATTTACTTTTTCACTCACTTGTGGCAGAAATTGGCACTTGTTCTCCAGTTGTACAACATCTTTAACCTTTTGAAAAGAAATAACATACATGTAATTTACACGTCAATTAATGTATATTGTACTATGTACAACAGTTTTAAACTTACATATATATACAATGTATTAGCCCTTAAAGGGTAACTACACCCAAAAGTTTTTTCCCTGAAATAAGTTGGTAATAAATAAAGAATCATAGGAAAAATAGCT